ACAGCCTGGCATTTTCTCTGAGCAGCAGATAGCTGGATTTGTGCCCCAATGCATGCTGGCGGCCAAGTATGGGTGGTGTGGCTAGAGCAGCAGGCAGGCCAGCTGGCTGGGCCCCACTCAGAGAAGCTCTTGAATGTAGCGTGCAGGGTTAGACTTCATCAGGAACAGCGGGAAAGTGGTGGAAGGGTCTGGAAGTGGGGGGCCAGCGCCAGTTGGGTTCAGTGCCGTGCCTCGAGACAATGGGGAGATGGGTTGGAGTAGAATGTCATTCAGCTCTTGAAGGACACGAGGCAACAGTGGAAGTTTTTAGGAACTATAGACCCTTTGCAGAGCTTTCCAAAGTGTGGCCCACATGTGAAGCGCACACTTCAGTCACCTAAGGTGCTGTGTAAACACAGGCTCCCAAGCCCCATCCTGCCCTTGCTGACCTGGGCCTTTTAGGAGAGGGGCCTTGGAATTTGTCAGCTGCACTCTTTAGACTCCCTGACCTTTTATATAATTAATGTAGGCAGTGAGGACTTGTTACCACTTCTGTTTGGTTCAACCCACTTACCCGATGNTTTAGACTCCCTGACCTTTTGTATAATTAATGTAGGCAGTGAGGACTTGTTACCACTTCTGTTTGGTTCAACCCACTTACCCGATGTAATCAGGGTCCAAAGAGTAGTGGGCCAAGCTGGTGGGCCAAGAAAGGCTTGGCAGGTGTGCGTGCAGGTCTGCGGGGTGGAGCGCGTGTCAACCATGTGCCGCTGTTGCAGACTAGCTGTTCACAGTGGAAGAACACTACATGCACCAGCTCGGTGAAGAGCAGAAACAAGTAATCGTTGCTTTTCTCCCGACAACCTGTAGATCAGCCTTCCAAACGGCGAAGGGTTGAGAACAGCGTTCCTCAAGCTGCAGAAGCACCAGCCCTGGAGGCTGAAATGGGACTCTTTGGGAAAAGCGCATCCGCAGACGTCGCCTCCTCCTCAAAGCAGAAGGAGAGGGCAGCTGCTCTGAAGAGGGACCTGCCCAAGGTGCCCCATGACAGCAGCAAGGACAGCATCACCGTGTTTGTTAGCAACCTGCCCTACAACATGGAGGAGCCGGACGTGAAGCTCCGGCCGCTCTTTGAGGCCTGTGGGGAAGTGGTTGAGGTCCGCCCCATCTTCAGCAACCGGGGCGATTTCCGGGGCTACTGCTATGTGGAGTTTAAAGAGGAGAAATCGGCCCAGCAGGCACTGGAGTTGGACCGGAAGAATGTAGGCGGGAGGCCAATGTTTGTTTCCCCCTGTGTGGATAAAAGCAAAAATCCTGATTTTAAGGTATGTGGAAAAAAGAATGCCTTTCATGCAGGGTTGGTATAGGCTGACTAAAACACTTTTTTTTTTTTTCCGGGCAGCAACTAGTATTTTAAATATACATGGAATACCTATACTCTGTTAAGAACTAAACTGCCACATTAACTGGGGTCTGCTCTGAGCTGGTTAACTGAGGTCTGACTTGGCTCGGTCACTTGGAGCTGCATTAGCTGATAATTGATCATAAAATGAATTGTGATAATGACGACTGTCCATTGAGTGCATAGAAGTGACAAGGGACTGTGCTAAGTGTTTTCTGTATTACCTCATGGATCCTCCCCCAAACTCTGAGATTAGTTACTTTCATTCTTGCCATTTTACAGAGGGGGAAGTGAGGGCTTCGAGAGGTTGACATGCGCGGGTGCCCCAGTTAACAGTTCCTAGCACTCAGAGTGTGCTCTGGTCTGCCCGGCTGGGACGTGGGCCTGTAGATGAGGCTGTTGCCAGCTGGAACATGGCTGGTGTGCTGGGTTGGGCCTCGAGTTGTTAGTTTTTCCCNACGTGGGCCTGTAGATGAGGCTGTTGCCAGCTGGAACATGGCTGGTGTGCTGGGTTGGGCCTCGAGTTGTTGGTTTTTCCCCTCTTTTCTTCCTTAGGTGTTCAGGTACAGCACTGCCCTGGAGAAACACAAGTTGTTTATCTCGGGTTTGCCTTTTTCCTGCACTAAAGAGGAACTCGAAGAGATCTGTAAGGCACATGGCACCGTGAAGGACATCAGGCTGGTTACCAACCGGGCTGGCAAACCAAAGGTCAGCGTTGGAGTGGACAGCCAGCTCTTAGTCTTCTGAGGCTCGAGTGAACCCAGCTCTGCGTCTCTGCAGAGGTCATTGGGTTCTAGAGTGGGCTCCTAGTTTGTTTGCTAAGAAACAAATAAATTAATAGAAGGATAGGCATACTAGGCTCTACTTGCATTTGGAGTCAGATTAACCTATTTGTAGTTCATTGTACTAAAAAAACCTCAACAACACAAACTACCATGAATTCGCAGGGGAGTGCAGTGCAGAGCCCAGCCTGTGGGGCCTCGGAGTGAGGGGCCACCCTCTGCACTCTCCTCCCTCCTGCCCAGGCTCCTTTTCATGAGGCCTCCAGCCATTTCCCCAGGCCCCTCCACCAGATTCCCTGTTACATCTTTCTTTGCAGCCCCTTCTCAGACTCTTACTAAGTCCTCTTTGCACCACATTTTGAGTAGTGTTGATGAAGCAGGAGTTTGGATTACCTTTCTTCCCCCCTCACCTTATCAAGGTTAAGGGAATTAAAGAGTATGATATGAAAAGGGGGGGGGGGCATGAAGGCACAGGCATTGGGGCAAACCTGGGTTGCTGCTCCGTTTGCTGCATTTATATGGGTCTGTCTGTCTTACTCTTTTTTTCTTTCTGTTGGAGCAAGCACAGAGGTACTGAACTTATAAAGGCTATTGAAGTTGTAGTCATTTACAGAAATGAAAGAATAGGGCAGGGAAGTAACCTATAGACAAAGGATGGCAGTGGTGAGGAAGGTCACCTGTTGATGGGGTGCCTGCCTTGCCCTGGCCCCCCAGCCTCAGGGAGGAAGTGCGCCCTGGCTCTACAGCACCTGACCTGGCTCTGGCCTCTTTCAGGGCCTGGCCTACGTGGAGTATGAAAATGAATCCCAGGCATCGCAGGCGGTCATGAAAATGGATGGCATGACCATCAAAGAGAACGTCATCAAAGTTGCCATCAGCAACCCCCCTCAGAGGAAAGTTCCAGAGAAGCCAGAAGCGAGGAAAGGACCAAGTGGCCCCATGGTGCCACGGCAGATGTATGGAGCGTAAGTGTTGGCATGCTAGCCAGTGCAGGCTTTGTCCTGGCCAGCACCATGGTGAATTGATTTCCTGTTAGCACAGTGTAGTAGGACAGAAAGCCAGGGCCTGCTGTCTGCTGTAGTCACCAGAGCAGGGTGTCAGAGCATGTCCCTGCAGAGAGCAAGCCTAGAAGTGGAACCCTTCCTAGTGTTTGCCAGTTTACACTTGTGATTTATATAAGGTCAAGTTTTCTCAGCCTGATTACTTTAAAGTCCTCTTTCCCAGTTGAATCCATGTTTAAACAAAGCCTGACATCCAGATGTTGGCCAGGGTAATCTACGGCTCTGGCTGTCATTGTGTGAAAGCTGTCTCCCTGATGGGTGACCCAGCACAACTGCCAGGTGACTGACTGGGTGAGGTCTGAAAGGTTGCAGCCATCTTTACCCACCCCTGGGTGACTATTGCACAGGTTTGGGCCCTGCCAAAGTTGGGAAGGCGGCCAAAGGAGTTCATGTGATTTTACCTACTGGTCAGTCAAGGAGATGTGGTCTTTGTTGTATCCTTCTAGTTGTTTTCACCTTTAGACTTCGGGTGATTTAGACACTCCTGGCTTATTTTCACCAGTGAACCAGGGGCCACAAGTTGTTGCTTCAAAAGGGTACATTCAGTGTTTGCTCTTCCAGGCGGGGGAAGGGAAGGACCCAGCTTTCTCTGCTGCCTCGCGCCCTGCACCGCCCGAGCACTGCAGTAGCTCAGGCCGAGAATGGCCCTGCCCCGAAGCCAGCAGTCACCTCGGCGGCCACGGAGGCTCCCAAGATGTCCAACGCTGATTTTGCCAAGTTGCTTCTGAGAAAGTGAACGGGACTCAGAGAAGGGAGATGCCTTACTTCATGCTGGCTGGGAGGACCACCTGTCCTCACCCAGCTGTACCCTGGGTATGAAAGGGCCTGGGGCAGCGCCTGCGTGGCCACCTGGTTTCCCCTGGTTTAGAAAGGGAGTGGGGTCCAAGGAAAGAGGCTTTAAGTGTTCCCTCACATTGAGGGTGACAGGAGGAAAACAGTCACTCCACAGGTTGGGCACCCAGTGTAGTTTGTAAGATTTTTTTTTAAGAGAAACGGGAGGAAACTTGGACACATCGTTTTGAGACACACTTGTCCAAATGTTTTCGGCCAACGGGGGCCCCTTCTTATAAGACACTTCTCTTACACTCTGCATAGTACATGTGCCCGTCACTCTTTTAATTTTTAAAAGACAAAACGGTAGATGCTAGTAACTCACCAGAATGGCCTATTTTAGTAAAAGGGCAGGGATAGGGGGAGTCACATAAAAAATATTTGATGGGATTTTGTTCAAGGGGGCTATGTGTTTTTATATTATGTATTTGTAAATGACATGTCAACCCATTCTTTTATGTTTCCTGAAAGCAAAATGTTTGTGACATTTGTTTTATATAGGCATTCTGTGTGCCATCTGCTATGGACCATTCTCTTTGCTTAGTGGATAGTGGACTGTGTTCTTTGTCTAAATATTGAGTTTCAGCTCTTTGGTTTTGTTTAAATACCGTGTCAAGTGCAAACTTAAATTTTCCTCATTTAGCTTTGTTTATTAAACTGAAGTTCTCTTAAAAACCTCTTGCAGAATGGCACTCAGCTGTGCATTCAGATATGGATGTGTTTTGAAATGCGTGTACCTTGCTTTACGTAACAGATGTGTAAATAGAACTTTTGTAAGTCAGATTCCCACGGTCACTTTGATTTAAATCTTTTCAGCTATGGTGTGTCTTCAGCTTTAAACTTTATAAAGAATAGGGCTGAAGTCCTGAAAAAATCCCTCCTGCATCCTCCTGACAAATGGGACAGACCATCTCTTGTAGAATAAGCAAAGTCTCAGGCACTTAATACAATAAAATACTTTATTAGAGTCAGTTATTTGTTAAAATGATATCCTTCACATATAGCTAAAGTGCCAATTCTATAGTACAAACAAGCACGCACGTCAGGCTTCCTTGGTGTGCTTATGAAACCAGGACAATAGAAGATTTAAGGTTAAGAAATACCTTATGGCAGCATAAAGTATGAAAATATTTTCTTTAAAGGTTTGAATAACTATCACTTGGGGCATTTCATATATCTTTACACGTATCTTCCTTAATTCAGAAAACCATTCTGAATGTGCCTATTATATAATTAAATAACTAAACACTTGCTACATAAGAGCAGTGACCTCATTACTATCAGGATCTGAATTCTCAAATCAGAGACAACCCTGGATGTTCTCACCCTCATTCAGACACTGACAAAGTGCAGCACAGTGGTAGACGTCACGGGCTCTGTCCATTCTCACTAAATAGCAGCAATCATATTGGCACCTGTGCCACATGTGATTGAAAGAGATTCTACTTCCATAGAAGGACAGCTTGGCCGTATTACACACATTTTATAAATTGTTAGAAAAGTAAGGCCACTCCAAGGCAATCTATTCTGCTTCCCCGAGGGGATGCTGGACAGTACAGAGGTGGGGGTCAGGTAAGTGAATCAAAATGCATGACAAAAGGGACATGTCCCAGCTGTGGTCAAAGGTTTTTCATGGTTCAGTACATTGTAGCTCTCACTACCACAATGCTTATTTGGTGGTGACACAGCATTTGTTTTCTCATGTAAAACTCAAGGGGGTCAAGTGAGGCGGACTTGCCCACCTGCACAGTACCTGATGGACAGCAGGATTCAGCTGTTTGGTGAAAACCCAGGGAACTTTCAGACTAAAACATCTGCTCTGAGTTGCTGCAAATGAAGTGAGAGCAACATCAACAAAGAAAAACCATGCTGACCATTCCCCTGTTCTTAATTTATGGAAAAATAGCCCCTGACACTGGAGTTTGCAAACTATGGCTCTTCCCTGAAATAAGCAAGGTATTGAACCAGAAATGCTGTCAATACTCATTTCATTTTATATCTCAGAAGTCTGCCTGGCCAGTAAGAATTAGCCACAGGACTAATCTCTCCGTAGGAAAGCAAAAACCTCTAAGCAAGCAAGCTTTCCATCACTTCTCAGAAACGGGACCAGGTTCTCCCCGGGAGTGCTGATATCCCAGGTAGAGGCACGGAACCTTTCGGCCAGTCTCGCGGAAAGACCGGGAGGAGTCAGTCCTGTGTCTCTGGACCTCGTCCTGGTCTTGGCCTCTCCCCACCTTAGTGCAAATTCCCCAGAACCTGGTTTGGTCACACAAGGAGCACTGGTACCCCCAACACCTGCTGGGATGACCACAAGAGTGGGCCACTAGCACTGTTGGCAGACACCACACATTTACTGGCTCAAAAGAAGAAAATAAATAACTTGTCTGAATTATAAGTTATCTTAGCGACAAGGCTTAATAATTTAGTTTTTTTCTGTTTTAACTAAAAAAACATTTGGAGGTAAAGTGTTGAAGTTCCTTATCTGTCTCCTTTTGCTTTGGGAGGTGACAAGGTTTCTAGAAATGATAAGTTGATTTTTCTCTCCCCCGGAAGTCCCATCACCAAGGGAGGGTTTAAAGGGTTAAGGTTTCACAGGCAGCGTCTCCTTGAACCCAGAGAGGTTGGGTTTGGCCTCCGGCAGTGCCACAGGGTACTCTGTTGTGGCAAAGAGCAAGGTGTCCAGGGTGGTCTCCGTACACTTGGCAATAAAGCGAATGAATGGCCTCACGTCGCCTTCGTTGGCGACTTCCAGTACATGGTAGTACTCGGATCTCTGCTCCTTGCGGATGGTGATGGGTGGGTAGCCCGCCTGCATCAGGATGAGGTTCATCAGCAGGCGTGAGGTCCTTCCATTGCCATCAATGAAGGGGTGGATGTAAACGAGTTTATAATGGGCCAAGGCTGCAAACTCAACCGGGTGCAAATTCATAGCATCCTCGGAGTTGAGCCACTGTATGAACTCTTGCATCTGCTTTTCCACATCTTGAGGATGGGGAGGGATGTGGTGTCCCACAAGGACCTGTGTCGTCCGAAACCGGCCAGCTTCCACGGGATCCACATAACCCAGCACCCGCCTGTGGATCTCCAGTATGTCGCTGATGGTGACGGAGCCCATGCGGGAAACCAGTGTCGTGTTGACATACTTCATTGCCGCGTGCATGCCAATGACCTCGTTCTGCTCCTCCAGGCTTTTCCCCGGCACGGCATAGCGGGTCTCCAGGATGTGCCTGATCTCCGAGAGGGTGAGGGTGTTGCCCTCGATGGCAACCGTGTGGTAGATGTGATGGTAGTACGTCTCCTCCATGACCCTTTGCAGCGCGGAGTTGCCCTTGGGGATGGACATGACCTTCTTCACTTTGTCGTCGATGATGCTGAAGTACCTCTGGTCGATCTCCTCTACTAGCGGCAGCGTCCGGTCCCGGTTGATGAGCGCTTTCTGGTGGGAGGGTGAGATGGTCAGTGCTCTGGTGTACAAATAGTCCGCCTGGATGATGTCCTTTTCTTCTTCGGAGAAGATGCCGAACTCAGTGAGTGCGTCCACGGAGTCGGGGTCCATGTTCAGGGCGTGTAGGAAGAGCTTGTGGGCTTTCTCCCGCTTGCCCTGGCGCTTCATTTCCAGGGCTTGGTTCAAAGCTGCTTTGGCTTCCAACCTAGCGGCTAGAAAAGAGCCAAAGAAGCGTCAGGGCAGGCAGGGAGTGGCAAAGAACACTCAGGTGAGCTGTCAACTGTGCTGGGCCCGGGGAAGGTACGGCCTCAGGGCTCGTTCTAGGCAGGCTTTTCAGCATGCACAGTACCACTATATGTATGGACGTGTTGGAGCCCTACGGGCAGTAGTCTGGTTGTTTCCCATTTGTCCCCAGAGCCATCCTCCTGGGGGAGAAGAATCCTCTGCTCAACGCACAAATGCATCTGAAAGATCCACGTGTAGGAACATCTGAAGGTGGGAAGTAGGGGAGGCGGGATGGAAGGACAGACGAGGTTCAGCACCCACTGTGGCTCCAGCGGTGAAGTGCCACAGCCTGCAGTGTAAGGGGGCAGGGCAGTTTCCCTCCAGGAAAAGGCATCTCCCTTCCTGCCTCCCCATGTAGGCAAAGCTATAAGGGAAATGCAAATCAAAACTACAATGAGCTCCCACCTCACACCTGCTAGAATGGCTGTTATCAGTAAGAGAAGAAATAAGAGTTGGAGAGGATGCTGATGGGAATGCAGACAGTGCAGCCGCTATGGAAACAGTATGGAGGCTCCTCGAAATGAAGAACAGAGCTACCATATGCCCCAGCAACCCCTCTTCTGAGTACCCAAAAAATCTGAAAACACTTATTCATAANGGAAACAGTATGGAGGCTCCTCGAAATGAAGAACAGAGCTACCATATGCCCCAGCAACCCCTCTTCTGAGTACCCAAATAATCTGAAAACACTTATTCATAGACATATGCACCCCTATGTTCACTGCAGCACTATTCACAGTAGCCGAGACATGGAAACAACCTAAGTGTCCTTTGATGGAAGACTGGATAAAGAAGAGGTGGCACGTACATATGTGGAATACTACTCGGCCATAAAAAAGATGAAATACTGCCATTTGCCACAGCATGNGGAAGACTGGATAAAGAAGAGGTGGCACGTACATATGTGGAATACTACTCAGCCATAAGAAAGATGAAATACTGCCATTTGCCACAGCATGGATGGATCTGAGAGGAGCGTGCTAAGTGAAACAAGTCAGACAGAAAAGGGCAAGAACTGTATGATTTTACTCATATGTGGGACATACAACAAAGCAACAAATGAACAAACAAAACAAAAACTCATACAGGCAACAGAATGGTGCTTCCCAAAGGGGGAAAGGGTTGGGGGGATGAAGAGGGTCAAAGGGTCAAATATATGGTGAGGGAAGGAGACTAGACTTCGAGTGGTGAACACACAATAGAGTATACAGATGTATTATAAAGTTGTACACCTAAAACTTAGGTTATTAACCAATGTTTTCGCCAATAAATTTAATTTAAATAGTGTAAACAACACAAATGACAGATAAATAAAATATGGCATAATCCAAAAACAAAAACCAAGAGCTGAGAGAGAGCTACTCTGTCTTACCTGGAGAGGACTTGGTCTTGACCCCCAGCAGTGCCACATCCTTGGAGGTGACACTGAGTTCTGTGGATGGGCTGGTACATTTGGTGACGGCATGCTGTGCCCTGTCCAACTTGCTCCCGAGCAGGTAGAAGCCTTTGAGCAAGGCCAAACACTGCTCCTCCATGGCACCCAGTGGCAACAGCAGGGCCAGCAAGGACCCCAGCACCATGCTCAGCAGCATCACCCACAGGAAGCGGCCCCAGATTGGGACCCATTTTGGTTCAGCCACGGCCATCATTGAAGCCATCGGCATGAGTATCATCTGGACTCAGGGGTGGGCCCCTTGCACATACCCACAGTCGTCTGAGAGAGCTGGATCTGAAAGGAACCGAGAGTTGTAGGAGATGAGGCAGGGGAACTGATATGTTTAGGACACGTTTCTGACTCCCACTAGGGCTTGGAGACTCCGGTGCCTAACTCACTAAGGCCTAAGGGTTGGGGCAAGCTAGGAGTGGATCTAAATGGGGAGGTGCCAACCTGGAAGGACTGGTGCCACCTCCAGGTGGTATGTCTGAAAAAAGTAATGCTGCAGTTAGTTGCCCAGCATTATTAAGCACTTACTGTGTGCCAGGAGCTGTGCTAAGCACTAAGGACCTATACATACCCTCCTGCAACCTTCAACAGGAGCTGAAGCTGTCACCCCACTCTCCAGATGAGGAAACAGCCTCAGAGAGGTGATGTGTCTCTTGCCGGAAGTCACCCAGTGAGCAAGTGGCAGCCTTAGGACTTGAATTCAGGACCCCGTGGCTCTAAAGTCTCCTTCCTTCATCACAAATTCTGCAGCCTCTGAAACCAAACACTGAGTGTCCAGGACAAAAATAACACACAGATACCGCGTCCCTCCCCCCCCCTCCAGGATTGGCTAAGGCAGTTCTGAGGCCCGTTCTTCCATAAGCACAACTATTTGGTGGCCTGATTTATTGCCAAATGGTCGGCCACCCCTTCCTGCCCTCACCCTGATACAATACCAATCCCCTCTCTGGCCTTCCTTCCTTTTCTGGACTGTCCAGCAGGGATGCCACCTAGAGTTAGGGCAGTGGAGCATCTCAAAAAGAACTCAGGGTGTGGGCCAGGGCTAGTGACCCCTTGCCCTCTGGGACAGTGGGCTTGTGCTTGAGGCTGGCAGTGGGAGAGGAGGGGTCAGGTATGCAAGCACCACTATGCTAACAATAAGCATTTATTGGGCAACTATGGTGTGCTGAGCATTGAGCTGGGTGCTAGCCGTGCGTTATCTCGCTTACCCCTCAGTACCCTAAGAAGGAAAGCTACCCCAGCTCCGTTTTACAGAGGGAAACAAGACACAGACAGGGTCAGTCAGTTCCCAGAAGGCCCGCGGGGAGTAAACAGAGGCACCGGGAACGAATCCCTAGTGCGTCTGGATCCAAGGTGCCCGAGTCCTCCCCTCTCCCTTGTCCACAACCAGGCCCTGTGCACCTGCTCCGGCTGCTCCTGGTGCTAGGCCTCCAGGAGCCGGAAAGGGCCGATTAGGTTTCTGATCGCCCAGGGCTGTGAGGCTAATGGGGGGCCGGGCCTGGTACGCGCTCTAACGGGGTACGCCTGGCGTGCTGTGGGGGCACCGAGCCGCTGCGGGTGGCTGCTTCGTCCAGGTGGTCCGCGCGCTCCCCGAGGGACGGGCTCCCCGGGGGGCCGGAGTTCGCGCGCGGAGGCCGCAGTGCGCCCCGGGAAGCGCGAACTTCTCACCCATCCCTGCGCTAGGGAGGGGGAAACTGAGGCCCGGAGAGGGGAGGGGACTGGGCTAAGGTCCTTCTGGGGAGCCGCCCCTTTCCGAACCCCGCCCAGGGCTCTTGGCCCCGCCGCGCCCTTCGCGGCTCATCCCGGCCGAAGCGCTCAGGCTGGCCCCCTCCTCACCGCGCGCCTCGGCCT